AAATCCTATTGACTGTCAATTAGACTCCCCCTCAATCCCAGTCCACTTTCCCTCTAAGCCTGAACAGCAGTTTTGCTACTTTCAAACCAGACAGTTTTCATGGTCCATTACCTTTGATTACAACTCTCTCTACCCGGTTAGTTATAGGTACTAACGGCCAATTTCTCAAAGAGACAGCACCAACCCCATCCTGTGTAGTTCAGAGATTTATGAACCTTCAAATTAATGAAAGCACAGCCTAACACTGATCTTTTATATTGCTCTCCTTATTAACCTAAAGGGTATGCAGTTACAGAAACCCAGGAAAGGACTGACACATTCCCATCAGCTTGTGATACCAATTTAAGGCTCTGGACCTAAATTTCAAAGCCAAACAGCGGATTAAGACTTCGTGGCATTAAACAGCAGATATGGATCTTGATGCAGAAAGCACTGTGCTCAGGTAGGATGGCCCCTGCTACAAAGGCTCAAGCAGGGAGGTCTGTCCTCAGTCAAAGCAGTCCAGCTGCAGAACAGCTTTTGCAGAGGTCAGAGAAGTCACACCAGCCTTCCCTTTCAATAGCTCCTTCCTCTGTTTTACCAACACTCCCTCATACTACCTTTACCTGTTTCATCATAGACCTATTCCCTCCCCGCCCAGAAAAAAAGACTCACTAAAATAAAAGAAACATGAGAACAGCTTTACAGCTAGATCTCCCTGAAGAAAAGAAGAAATTAACAAAATTCATTTTGTTATTTAATTTAGGGGAAGACACTTAGGCACTGCCAGATGGCAGCACAAAACTTTTAAGAGAGTAGAAGCTTTCCACCTAAAAGTTACAGCAGAAATGCCCAGGACCTAGCTAAGGCACTGGTAACTCAGTCAACTACCCCCAAGAGCCTGCGCTGCCGTTTGAACCCTCCTAACCCTGCGCGTCAGGCACTGTGGTGTCCAACTGCTGCCACAGCTGCCCAGGCACAGCTGGAGTCACAGCCCAGCTACCAGAGGGCAGGTACCACAGGTAACTCTCCTCACTCCCCAGCTGGGAAGCATCTGCAATGTCCTCCAGTGAAGATGGACTGCAAGAATAAAGTCATAAAATACCCAAAAGCTGGAGTTGAACCTCAGTTTCAAGTAATCGGTTGCCATTATATATCAACAGCACCACAATCCAAGCACAGACTTCCTGGTGCTGATTACTGCACTTTTAATAAGTGCTGAGCCAGGAGACATTTGAGCTGGAGCTAAACACTTCCTAGATTTTCACCTCTCACAGAGAGGCTTCTGTGCAGTTGTTTCGCCATTTCAGCGCCCTGCAGAGAGCGTGGGCATGCAGACGCTGAGCTATCCCCTGTGCTCAGATCCAATTCCTCACAGCAAGCTGCTCTCCTCTGCCTACACAAGTGCACTCATGGGCTTCTCGTCTGGCAGCGATGGGGCAAAGAAGGACACCACGAGAAAGAAGAGCCTGGCATGGGAATTAAACTTACTATGCGCTAAATAACTTTTTTCATTCAGAGGAAGACCAACTCAAGTGCAACTTGCGGTCCCTCAGCAATTATCAAGAGATCCCACCCATGAATACCAACAAGCAGTTGGTGATGATCACAGGTGGATGCAGTAAGCCTCCTAGATCCATCAGGAAATGCTAAAACACACTAAAGTATGCTCCTGATTTGGTTGGAGAAAAATTGAAGGTGCCAGTAATGCTCTGCTACACCTGATATATCAGACTTCATTTTGGCTGGAAATGAAACACCAAGCATGCAAATCAAAAGGCTCACCAAACCAAAATTTGTGTGAACAGCACAGTTCTAAGAATTGCACCATTTAAACCTCCTTTCACCAAGATAGCTGCTGGTGACCGCAAGGAGAAATAAAATACACTCAGCCATCCATTTACACGTAATAAAAATGAGAAAAGCCTAACAGATATTCCTTATGTGGTTTGTCTGGCCTCTTTTTTCCCCTGACCCCTTCCGCAAAACACACACTCAGATGCACTGTGTCGTTTTCCACCATTAAGGTGATCTTGCATTTTGATGAAGCTTTTTTCCCCAGGAGACCTTGGGATGAATTGGCCTGTGCACGCTCGAAGATATGTCTGTATTGCAGACTGCAGCGTAGTCTAGAGATAGGTGGGACAGAGCAGGTGCTGGAAACGAAGAGCTCTGTGAAGACTGAGAATCTTAACCCGTTAAGACATTAAGGTAAATTAGCACAGATATCGCTCATATGGTTAGAGCGCTTTTAGTACTTCCCCTAGCACCAAAGGACAGCAGTGAGACTAATGAGGCTTGGGACATAGATGTACATCTATGAGAGATGGCTGAATGCTGGAAGGCAAAAAGAATGAAACTGAACTAGCAGTAAGCTAGCAAATCAAATAACAGAGGTAAGCGCACAGAGGTTAACTGGCTGTGTGCATACCTGCTCGCACACGCTTGAAGTGTCGTTCTAGGTTTCATCTTTGTCATGTTCCAGATAAAGTTAATTGTTTTAGTTGGCATTAAAATGATTTTACACATAACATCAGCCAGCCAAACCCTCTTCTGCCCAATGCTCTCAGAGCAGTTCCAGCAAGAATAAGGTATCAAGGGAACCATCTTTAATAAAGTAAATTTGAAAGGTCATACAGGGCAGGGAAGAATGTGGGAAACAGAAATTGATGAGCCATCCAACAAGTTTGAAAACTTCTTTTGGAGCTCTCACCTATAGCTGGAACACTGAAGTAGCATGCATATTTACATTCAATTTACCAGATTTGTCTTACCAGCTGGGTCAAAAATAAATAGTTCTACTTAACATGGCAAAAAGATTTGCTGAGAAAACCCATCCACCTATGAACATAATTTCCTAAGCAGTAACCCTTGCAAAGGTTCCCTTCTCCATCAGTGAGCCCTCTCCATGTTGGCACTCTCCCAGTTTGGGCTGAGGAGCATCCATGCAGCCTCGCCTTAGAGCACTGTATTTCATGTGCAAACAAGCAAAGGTATCTGAGTGTTTCTGTATGTGCACAAGTATGTACACAGAAGTACGTCTACAGGAAGATTACCAAGTAGCTACCTGCAATACGAAGATAATGATAGACTGGTACAAACAAGCAGAAGTTGCTTCTGTAAACCCATGCTCAACCACCATTTGCAGTCAATACTCTATCAGGTCTGCTCAATGAATACACAGTGGTATAAGGATCCCTCTTCCTTGAAGATTAGTGACGCTTGTATACACATAACCAGTACTACTCAGCTACGGCATTTTAAAAATTTTATTTATTTAAATCAGGTTTGAGACTTACCAATAGTTTGAGCAGCCAAAAACGGGACTTGTAATATAAGGTTTTGGTGGGGTTGATGAGAAAAAGCAACATGAAGCCGTACAAGATGAGCGGATTCACCTGCATAGGGATGTAGGTGAATTTACCATATATACATGCCAGCAGGCTCAGGCACCACAAAACCCCCAGGAAACCAGCAATCTACAGAAAGATAGAAAAAACACATAGATACCTTATGAATATATAGCCCTGAAACCTACAATGAATTCTCATTACAAGAAAAGGGACCGCAGTGCTCAATGCTGTAATCTAATTGGACTTCAGCAACTTCCTCTTCTAATTGCGTTAGAACTCCTTGCCAGGAAACAGTGCAGGATTTATCCTCCTGATACATCGCACAGCTCAACCGCTCCTACAATCTATTCTGTTTACCTCAAAGAGATGTTGATGGGACAAGTTGCTCCTGGGATTGAGTTCGAAGATGAGGACGTGATTCACTCCAGCCTGTCTCCAGCCATATGTGTTGATACCCAGGAGAAAGAGGAATTCTATCAGGAGAAAGCCACCTCGATAGATTCTCACCAGTGGCCACACATTTGGTCCATCTATAAAAGCCACACCTGGCAAAGACAAAAATACAACGACCTTAGTGATAGCACAAGTCATGTCACAAAGCAAAGCTGTGCTCTGCTGCTTTATGCTGGCTCTCAGATGCTCGGCTGTACCCCATGAAAACAGGGTATGCTCGTATGCACCTGCGTGTTGCATCAAGTGGAGGACTTTTTGCCTAGCCTGCCAGAGGATTTAGGAGTATTCCGGGGAAAATGCACTCTCCAGCTGGTGTAGCCAGGTCATTAGCAGCATTTGAAGTCCCCTGTCTCACACTACAGGCACAAGGGACAGCACTAGCATAAATTGTGACTATGTGCACTTATATGCTCTGGTTTAATGGAGATAAAATCCCAGCAGAGAGATACACAAATACTTCAGCTCCCCACAAAACCAAGAAGCACCATTTACAGCATTTAAAACAATGCTAAATTGCACCTAATCACGGAACTCAATACAACTGTAATGTAATCCATATTCATAACTAGCAATATAATTTCTAGCTGCACCCAAACAGGAAACACAACATAAGGCAGCAATACTGGAAAGCCTGTTGCTTCCTTTATTCAGTCTTTAGGGTTTTGGAAACAAATTTGCTTAATTTCAAAAAATGAGTAGCCTTATACAGCAGCAGCTTTCTCTAGCACAAGCCCCTTTGCAAAATACCATCCTCTGGTTGACCAGTACGGGTTTTATGAGAAAGGCACAAATAAAATACAGTTGTTTGAATCCTCACTTTCAGTTTCACGCAGTGTTTCTCACTCACGTGCTTTTTAAGAGGGGAAAAAAGAACTGATGCTGAGAATTTGTTCTCACAACCCCCCCGTCTAAATTACAGCCCCAAGTTTTTCAAACTTTTCTTCAGGGAAAGCATATCTGTAAGAAGTTTCATGAGTTCAGCAACTGTACTTTATATCACATGAAATTATGGAGGAACAGTGCAACGAATAATGACTCAAACTATTGATTTGAATTTAAAACTTAATGACAATATTGGATTCAGGCAAGAGAGTGTCAAATTTTGGACAGAAATTACAGACACCCTGAATAAGCTGAAAGAAATGAGTCTCAAATACGGAATTGCAAAAGCATGCATTTCAAATTTTAATCTGAAATGCCTGCAGACAAAAGCAAGGGAGGTGCTTCCCAACAGGACAGAGTAGCCCCAAAAATATTGAACAAGAAATGACCAGACAGAACAGGGCAGATGTGCTGTGTGCTATTCGAGACAGAACACCCAAAGGTTTATCCTGAGGTGAGTACAGTTTAATATGACAGTATAGCATATGACTTCCATAGCTAATACCCGCTAATCTTGTTTCTGGATTCTCAGCATGGTAGAGGACCATAATTGCAGTTTGGAACACCAGCTGGTTCTGGAGAAAAAGCAGATACTGAACTGAGCTGAGTTACTGACCACACAGAAACTGAGAGTATCTCTGTATATTCTCTCCTCCGATACTAAGGCCTATCTAGTTTAGCTTGTGCAGTATAAAGGCTAGATTTGTTTGATTCCCTTTTCATGTTTCCTAACCAAACCATTTTCTTCACTATAGCTGAGCAGTTTGACTGAAGACTCTCAAGGACCCCACTTGCAGGGAAGTGCCCAGCAAAGGTGTACCAAGTCTCAAATTGGCATGACCCAGTCCAGGGCTGTGTGCTACAGCCCCAAGGCAAAGATCTTCCGTTCATATATAATCATAAAATCATCTAGATTGGAAAAGATCTTTAAGATCATCAAGTCCAACCGTTAACCTAGCCCTGCCATCCCACCACTAAACCATGGCCCTAAGCACCTCATCTACCTGCCTTTTAAATACCTCCAGGGATGGGGACACAACCACTTCCCTGGGCAGCCCGCTCCAGTGCTTGACAACTCTTTCGGTGAAGAATTTCTTCCTAATATTCAATCTGAACCTCCCCTGGTGCAATTTGAGGCCCTATCCCCTCATCCTATTGCCTGTTCCTGGGAGAATAGACCAACACCCCCCTCACTACAACCTCCTTTCAGGTAAGTGTAGAAAGCAATAAGGTCTCCCCTCAGCCTCCTCTTCTCCAGACTAAACAACCCCAGTTCCCTCAGCTGCTCCTCATCAGACTTGTGCTCCAGACCCCTCACCAGCTTTGTTGCCCTTCTCTGGACACGCGCTAGTGCCTCAATGTCCTCCTTGTAGTAAGGGGCCCAAAACTGAACACCGTATACTGCTTCCACTTAAATCCAACACCACAAGCGAAGTCGCCTCCTAGAGTCAAGCAGGTACATGACACTTGGTCAACTGATCCCTTCAGCAAGCAAAGGCTCTGAACATGGTGCTCAGAGAGGAAGATGTCACTGGTGACAAGCCCAATGACATCACAGCCTAATTCCCAAACGAGAGACAGGGCACTCCTGCAGCAAGAGTCTTGAGATTTTGCATTAAGTCTTACAGGTTTTTGGTTAATAAAACATATGCCCATTTCCGTGAACTTTCAATCTCAACTACACATTAGCCTTGGTACCTAGGAAATCTGATACAGAAACAGTGAGGGCTCAAAATTCATACTCTTTAGGGTGACACTCTGCTGGGGTCCACCCATAGCAGCCTTTAATGGACCCCAAGTTATTGTGAATTCATCTCTACACAATGTTGCTGGTCTACTTTTAAAATCAGGCAATACAGAAGTGGTGTACTACTAAAAGTCACATTTTAATGCTGTTTTGCAGATTGTACATACGCAACACTAAAATCCTATCATTGTCAATCAAAACACAAAAACAATTTAGCAAAAGTAGCAGAGAGGTTAGCAAAGTAATATCAAATTAAAACCAAACACTTTGCAGTTAGAATACAGTTTTTGCCCGATACCTGAAGTAACGTACAGATATCAGATCATGTCTGTTGATACAAACACATCTATTACTCACTCTCGGTTTAGTAACATCTGCTTTAGAGAGAAATCATTTTTATGAATTCATTCTCACAACTGTGTCACTTTTTCATTCTTAATACTGAGAGATAAAGCAAATACAACTGGCTTCAATCGTATTTGCATATCACACAGAGATCAAGCATGTAAGTTACAAAAAAAAAAGATATGATGAATAAAGAACAGCTTATACACATTAAATGGACCCTTCATACAGTCGGGTCAAACGTCTGCCTCTACCACAGGAAGACCAAACGGGAAGCAGTGCAAACAGATCCTCAAACAGAGAAATTTTATCCCAAGAGATGACTGGATCCAATTACAGAAACATCTGATTAAAAAGCCTTTTAAGTCAAAAACACAGACATGGGCTTTCCCTAATGCAAGAGCTCATATGTTGATTTGTTAAACCTTTTCCTTTGTACTGCTTAAGCAAGTTACAACGCTACTGAAATCACACGCACAATTAGTAAAGCCGCTTGTGATGAAGCGCTGTATCTGGATCCAGCGTACCGACATAGCTTTTACTCTAATGAGAGTTCAAACTCAGAAGGCACAAAGCAGAGTAAAACCAAGACCTGAGATAGGCAATAATTTATTGCAGCTTTTAAACAATCTTGCCAAAATCTGCCAACAAGAAAGAAGTCATTTAATTCCATTAATAGGCACCAAGCATTGAAATCCTAGAAATTTCTACGTGAACACATCCTGAGTGGCATAGTGCTCACGTGGCGCTCTGTCTGGTCTCATTTCTCTGTAGGGAATCAGCACCATGCAAAAGTTAAGTTCTGTGAGTACCTCTCAAGGTGGGAGAGGGATATGCATTCACAGAACAGTAACAGAAATCTGTCTTTATACATGGACATTGCACCTCCAGAACATCCCTTCAAGAGTAAGGGGGAAACCAGGAGAACAAACCACAATATGTTCAAACTCCAAAATCTGTGTATCTAACAAGAGAAAAACCACAACCTGTTACCGAGCAGAACTAATAATTCATAACAGTGTGATTTGACTCAGGCTGATTTAACCCAGAACGTTCTGACCAACCCAGTTTGGATCCAGGCCCTCGCTAAGCAATGAGAACATATCCAAAGCAAGGCATGGGAGCCAGCTGTCTCCAGCTGACGATACCCACCTGAAAGTATGACAGTGACGTTCAGTGCAATGAACAACCCACAGAACAATCCAACCCTGAATGTAGTCCAGGCTGGTACAGGCTGTGAACAAAAGGAATGGTGGAATTAAGGTGGAGTAAATAGGTTAGCATCTCAACATCCTTTGAAAAATATTCCAGACCACAGAAACACTAAGCATACGTTATTATTAGCACAAGTTTCCTTTTACTATTTATCTCATCCCTTCATTACCTTGTCTGCATGCATTAGGAACAGTAAGCAAGCCATTTCCAAATCTTCCGGAACTAAAGCAGATTATGTGACCATGCCCCCCTCACCACTCGCGGAGCATGCTCACGTCAATTATTTTCACTACTCTGTTCAAATGTTGAATCTAATTTGGCACCTTGGCAAACTGGAGAAGCAGCTTTGCTATACAACTTGATCTCTCACCTGAGCTGCTCCTAAGGGTGGAACACGCAAACGTTTCATAGCCTTCTGTCTGTCTCCATCTTCTAACTCATTGGTCACCACTTCCTAAGGAGATAAAGATATACATCACAGAAGTGCACTCTAATGATAAGCACATGGTACTGCGTTAAAACAAACAAACAAAAAGTGGTTTATTTCCCAGTTACATTTGAGCCCTGGCCCAAGACTCTTCTCATACATGGTAACAAAGGTATGAAAAGCTCACCACACTGCACCAAGTTATTACACAATACAAGCTAACCCCACGTGAGCTTGTCAGAGTGAAAAGCTACAAGTTGAAGAGAACATACCCAAATTTATGCAAGCAGTGCCAGAAATCAGTGGCATTTCAAAATCAATTAATAGTTGCCTTGGTGGTGAATACAAGGTATAGAGAGGACAAAACATTATAGGGATCAGCAGTGAATAAGAAAACATTGTCTTCTAGTTAAAAGAGGAGCAGCGCCCAGACTAGCGCCTTTACCTCTGTTTCAGAGATAAGCTGGTTGATCTTCTTGCAGGTATAGAAGGGTGCCACCTCCACCTCGGCCACCCGCCATTCTGCCCCCCGCGTCGTCTCCAGGTTCTTGTCATGCTTCTTCAAGATCTTGCGGAAGCCGGTGAAGTTCAGGTTCTGCAGATGAGGGAAAACAGTTACTGGCTTTTACCTCAGTCAGCTCCCAAGAAAGTTAAATGGTTTCATTTCCAGCGCTAGCAAAAAAGGAGTAGTTAATAAGAATCAAAATTATTGCATCTACTGTCAGGAAGTTTTTGAGTTATTACTTTATTGGAAGTAATACATAACCCTTGCAAATAACAGAAGAAAAAGTAGAACTCGAGGGCATAAAAAGAGGTAACTTATTTGCAGGGAACTACCTAAACCTCAAATTCTCTGAAAAGCCAAATCACTGCCACTTTTCTCCTTAATGCAGGAAGCGATGACATTCCTGATGAAGCCTCACTGAAGATAAATAACCTTTGGACATACCCAAAAGTTGTATGCTTAAAGTTATTTCAAGACACACTCTCTCTGCCTGGGTACACTTTACTGCACATGTCCCACATACTGCAACTCAGCAACTGGCCTCTGGATTAGCAGTAGTTGTAACGAGCTCTTAACAAAAATGTAAAGCTGTAGAAAGACTACATTTTGTCCCAATTTCTACAGTCATTGCCAATCCTTCAAGGTGTTTTCTCTTTTGAAACTAGGCTACTGATTTCCAGTTTCTTTAAACTCCACATTGGTTTCAAATCAAGTTCTCCAGATAAGTGCATTACAGAAGGGAAATCCTTGTACGACAGAAAACTTGTGAAAGTTTTAAATGCTGCAGACTAAATCCAGCCAAGTGCAACCCCGTAACAGCATCCTTTTCCACAGAGTACATTGCTCGATGGCTGCAAAACTAGTTTAGGCTTGCAGACGTGGGAGATGCAACACTCCAGTCTGTCGAGATAAGCACACTGTGCCGCATTAAACCACAAAATAACGGTTGATTTCCAAGTTATGTATGAGCCCTGACCCAACACTCTGCTAATGCACAGTAACTAAGACAGGCAAAGCTCATCACACTGCAGGCAATTGCCGCTGTGACAAGATGCATTTGAAATCCTGCATTTCATTATACAGAACATGCCACTCGAAAGGCTCAAC